AATCCTGCAAGAATCATAGAAACCATGTGAAATATATCAAAGTTTGTCAAGAGAAAGGTGGCCTGAACATACGCTTGAAGGCGAGCATGAGAGTGACAGACGGATTGAAGGGCTGGATTGAATGCTAAAAGCAGTGGGTGGGGGGTTGTTTCAGCACTGCTTTGCTCGAGCCGGCGTTTTAGAGGCGATCTCCCTAGCAACAGAGCCGTCGTGGATGAGCGGCAGCCCGGCGATCGAGCACCACGGATGCAAATGTGAACCGAAGGACCGGCTCCCCGGCACCGGATCCCACGCTGCGGGGTTTATTTTTAGCTCCACGGGGAAACGCTATCGTGCTAGTCATGGTGGAGCAGATTACGGATGATGATGAAGAAGATGATGATGATGGTGGTGAGGAGGGAAAAGTGGCGCAGTCAGTCGCAGCGAGCAAGCAGGAATTAAAAAGAAGAGAAAAAGGGTGATGTCATTGGTTCTCTGGATCCAGCTGAAAGTAGGGCAGTCTGAACAGGAGGAGGGGAGGGAGGGAGGAACAGGGGGAGGCGGGGTTGACCTACATACAGCTGTGCGACCTGAGGGGTGTGAGCGGCAGGGTGCAGCATGAAAGAGACAACACAGCCTCATCAAGTGGTCGGCTATAAGAAATCGAAGAGGGGCGAGAAGAAGGAGGAAGAAGACGAGGAGGAGGAGGAGGTGGTAAAGAAAAGGAGGGCAGGATGAAAGCGGGGGAGGTGGCGGGAGTGAAGGAGAATCTGTTGCAGGAGAGGAGAGAAGGAAAGAGAAAGTGAAAGAGCAGTAATAGAGGGTGGTTTCAGAGGAGAAGAAGAAGAAAAAAAAAAAAGCCCAGCATGACACATTCAGAGTGTGTGCGCTGCTGACAAGGCTCATGAATACATGAGACTCCCACACTCCCCCATCTGCTGTGGGTAATTGCAGTCGCAGTGTTTCTCTGCCGCAGTCGAGATCAGACCCAACATCCTGGTCAAAGATGGAGAGGAAAAGAAAGAGATGGAGCGATGGACGACGAGGTGCAGCCTCGCTTTAAGATATTCTAAATTGCTGCGCCATCTATTTGTTAAGTAATGAGGTTTTTGTATTCTCTGTATGCAAGTGTTATATACAGCAAGTCCAGTTCAGAACAAATCTTTTTATCTATAAAGTGAACAGACTGATTCAGTGAAAGACAGAGAGCGCCTCTATCAGCTCAGCTATGATGCACCATATTCTGGTCAAATGTTTAATTAAAGACTCCAAAAACAATAGAAACATACAATCTGATAATCTGTCGTTAATGATCACCTGTGAAGCTATTAACCTTGTGTGTTAGCTGAGATGAACGTATTGCTAAACTAAGAACGGTTCTGAGGAGGAGACTAATAATATATATGTATTTATTTGGAGGTTTTTTTGGTAAGAACACTTTCAGTTTGAACCAGGAAACAAAAATAAGTTTTTTTTTCTTCCCGTTCATCCACCCAGACCTCCTCACTGTGTGGACTCTCTTGCTTCAGAGACTTTACGGTAAAGTCCAGAATGGCTGGTGGACCTGCTGAACTGAGTAAAGCATCTCTACTGCCACTACCTTAAAAACAAGTAGCCAGCTTTGACCACATGGTCATTGCGTGGCCGATTTGTATTCCAGTAACAAATATTTTTAGTAGCTTTCGCACATCTGGAGTTCCCAGATCCTCGCTTTAAACTGCATGAACTCGGGGCAGGTGCAAAGTGGCGCAAACATTTACTGAAACCCTGTAAGAGATGCCGTTCTTGCAATCACAACAAAGTTTTGGGCCATCCTAAAACAGCCCACAAGTTCCTACAGTGGAAAATGGCCCAACATGGACTTATAGAAGAAAGCTTGCGACAGATGGTCCAACAATGAAGTATCAGTCGTACATGCAGAAACAGCTGCTGCTGAGTCTTTAGACTGTGCTGGCAATGCAGAAAACCAACAGTCTGAAGGGACCTTTGAGTTCCTTGAAGAAAAACTCCTACGACTAAAAGTTCCAGGAAGGAAACATGGTTTTCCACAACCTTGCCACATCATCTTCATGCCTTGTTGGGATGGAGTTCAACTCCAGGTCCATCCTTGTGTGGCTCCATAACAACATCACACTGTTTCCTTCTTCATTCACGATGGATGTGAGTCATAATTCCTACAGCCACTACAGGGCTTGAACGCAACAATAAGTGGTTTCAGCGTACTCACTGGGAAAACCCATGCGGCTGTTGCTAAAGCGATAGTCTGCAGATATACATGTTCTTGTCATCAGAACGGTAAAGCTGTGTCTGATACTACTTTACAAGTCTCAGTCACTGCAGTGCAACACTTTCTACTCTCGAAATAAGCCAAGCAGAGAGCCAGGGTGAGAGGTCCAAAGCTGGTTTTTGCTGCAAAAGTTTGAGATCACAAGTGATGACAGGAAACATATTTCTCCATCTGCCTCTCTCTCATCACTACCTCGTCTTTGATAACCCTGTCACATCGTTCATCAAATATAAATATGGAAGCTCGGATGCAGATCAGAGGAACAGTTGCTTTATGAGCAGAAAGTAGATCAGGGCCTCTTTAACTATAGATATGACGGGGGAATGGAGCGATCGTAAGGAGAAAGCAGACACGTGAGGCCGACTTTAGGTAACTTAAAATGTTCAGAGTGGTCGAGGTGCAAATAACAGCTGTTTCCTGTATGACGAGAAGAGACAAATCGGTGACACGCAACAAAGTCGGCGTCTCCGACACAAACATGTCTTCGCTTTGAGGAGTCGGAGAAAAAGGAGGACGAGATTCAAAGAGTTCAGTCTAACTCAGTCAGAAGGGAACTCCCGAAAGTTTGCCGCCTCCCTGACGAGATGAAAGGAAAGCCTGTGTTTATCTGCGTCTCTTTCAAAGTAGTACAGCAAGTTTTCAGGAGGCCGTCCCGCTGATCGGATTAGATGGTGAATGACAGTACGTGTCTCCAGCGCATCGCCATGAAAAGATGTTTCTTTTCAGTATAAAACCTGAAGATGAAACGTTTTACATGACGGGAATCAACATTTTTCAGTTTTTATGGAAGCCTGTTTCCATTACATGCAAAAAAATTTAATCTACTACTGATTTTTTCTTGCAGTGACTGATTAATAATGCCAAACATATGAGAATTTATTATGTTTTTTGATAATTATAGTGAATAACAGTTTCACAATTGGATATTAATTAGTCAGTGGAGTTTGCAAGCACAACATGTGAGTACTGACGTATAAACAATAGTTTAGTGTCTCAACCCAATGCTGAAAATACTCTCATTATGTGGTTTTCTTCAGTTTAGTTCAGGAGGTCGGGGTGGATGGAGAGACCAACAAAACACTGGATTTTAGCTACTGCTGATATTGTGTTTTGAAATAAGAGTTAACATTTTTTTTTGAGTGTTTAATATTTCAACCAGGACAGCAAAGGTTCTCTGTTTAAACCTGTGAGTCCGTTGTGTTTCAGGAGGAATCCAACACAGGAAATTTACAATGACTGCTAATATATATAATATAGGTATATGTATGTATATGTGAAAATGCATTGAATGGCTATTAGGAGCTTATCAAATCACGTATTACCAGGTCACTAAACAAACAGGACAGAAATCATAACACCCACTGACGCCCAGCAGGGCATTGCTTATGTTGCATCAACGGGAAACTTTAAGGAAATATCTAATAAATGTAATAAAATGCAGTATTTTTGTTGGCAGTATTACATATTTAAAGTCATCTGGTGCAGAATTTGCTTACGGCATGCCAAAGCTGGCTTGCATATTATTCATATTTGTGCCCCTCAAAAATATTTTGCAGCCATGTCGCACTTCTGATCAATCCTCCATTGGTGAGTGAAGTGATCTGTGAAAGCGGATAATTTGGTTTAATTAGTGTCAAGCACTTTTTGATTTAAAAACCGCTACATGGCTGCTGTCATGGCTAAGTGCTTTCTGAGAAACCGCCGACTGAAAACAGGAGGTTTGTGTAACGTCACTGAGTTTATTTCCAGAGGTGTCGTAGGTGGTAAACCACGCTCTTCTCCATTCGTAGGTTCATATTCTAAGACCTGATATGTGTCCAAGTCTAGCAGATACATGCATGCGTCAAAAGAGGAGTGCATTAAGTCGGGTTAGTTTTGTTTGTCTGACAAGATCATATATAGAAATTCCTGCATCTGCTGAGTTGACAAAAAGCTATTCCTCCAAACAGAAGAAGAAAAGGATTGTTTCTTAAGTGGTGTTCCTATTGGGTTAAATGGGATTCAACTTGTTTGTGCGCCTGAATAAAAGCTGCGTAACATTTTATTCCCACGTTGTTGCATCACAGATAAAATGTTGGTATTTCTTTATTATTTCTGTTTGTCAGTCCACAAACAGAAGTCATAATCTTGCTGTCTAACTAATGCTGCTTTCTTGCTTTTTTTCTCCCCACTCCTACTTCTTCTCGAACAATCCCCACCTTTCTGTCTATTCCTCGACGATGTATTCTTTTCCTAAACTTGTCCTCTTCTCGCCCCTTTTCTCTACTTCCTTATTTTCATGTTGTGTTTTAAACATCTTCCCATTTGTCTTTTTATCCTTCTTCTCCGTCTCTTTCTCACACCTTCTTTCTTTTCTCTACCTCCTGGACCCTGGAACTGCCTCGTCTCTTTCTACATTTCCAAACCTCTTCTTCACAATCTACCCATCAAATTCCTCTCTGTTGCCGTCTCTCCTCATTTTCCCTGTTGTTCCTCATGCAATCCTGTGTTCCAACTGTTTTATCTTTCCCCCCTAAATGCCCTATATTCTCCTCTTTTTCCCCCCCACATTTAATCTTCTACCTTCCCGCTGTGCTCCAAATCTCTGAATTTTTCTTAATTGGACTTTCTCTTAATTTCTCTACATCTTCTTCTTCTCTCTCCTCTATCTCCTCATTTTATCCTTTCCATCTCCTCCCCACACCACATTCATTTCCCTCTCCTCCCCCTCCATCCTCCATCCTCCGACGCCCAGCAGTAAGTACCGGCCTTCATCGGAGCAGCACAATGATAATTTCTCGCTGTCCACCATCGCTGAGGGCTCCCACCCAAATGTAAGGAAACTGTGCGACACCCCTCCTAACGTCCCTCATGCCCGTGCATTGGCTTACTATGATAACATTATCTGTCAGGTAACGTGGTTCTCGCCTCTCTCTCTCACCCCTTTTTCTGCATCCCCCCCTCGCCCCAAAACCCTTTGCCCGGGCCCTCGACTCCCCTCCAAATGCATGGGCATGAGTATTCTCCGATACTCTGAGGTGTGAAACGCTAATGGAGGGGGATGGATGGGGTCAAAGAGCGAGGAAGGATGGTGGGAGTTTTCTCAAGGGCTTGAAATCCAAAAGGGGATGGGAAGAATTGTAGATATAAATTATTATTAAATTTTATTCATAATCTATCCTAAAAACTAACCCATTACAGGTTTTCTTTGTAGATTTTGTTTATTTCTGATACTTCCCAGCACAGCTAACCTTTACAAAGCTTACCACTGTTGTTTTATTAATTTAAATCTACCTTTTTCGCAGCTCTTTCCTTATTTTCCTTGCAAAGTAATAGATGTTTTGACCTCTAATTCCTATTTCGATGAAGCGGTCGACCTGTAATTAGAGGACGTAGGCACTTTGTTTTATGCTGTTAGCAGTAAAAAAGATCGGAAACAACTTAAGGTCAGAAAACTACAGCATCTGGACATAACTATCCACTTATAAATGATTTAAAATAATCGGTTGAGTGGAAGGGCAACTAAGAAGTTTACTATTTGGAGGTTAGTCCTGGACTGTAGCGGCTCATAGACACAAATGGGTGATTGAACCTGTTACCACGACAACGCAACAGCTGTCAAGCCTATAGCTTTATTATTCTCATTGAATTATATACCTGGATACTATTTATTGATCCTGTTTTGATGATGGTTCAAGTTCTGTATGCCAGCTGCTACAGAAACCTTTTTTTGTGACCGTTTTAAGGTAGAAAATGTGTGGGAACAACTAAGCGTTAACCATTATTAGTTGTTTTGGGCTCACCCCACAACGTCTCATAAGTTATTCTAACTCAATTGTACGTTCTGACAAAGAGCAGACATGGCATAAATCCACTCCGTAGGGGAATCGGGGCGCTAACACAGCCGGGGTTAGAGGTTAAATTCTCCCTGAAACCAAGCAGACTGAGCGTTTATAGACCACAGTGCCCACAGTGCAGCTGCCGCCCCGGCTGGAGCCCAACCGTTCTAAGAGAAAACTCCTCGCCGTGACCCCTTCCCATCCCGTCTCCTTCTAACCTGCTCTCTCTCTGATCACCTCTTGCATCGGTATGTCATGGCATGTCTGCTCTGTCGCTAATATGCGCCACCCGGTGGCCATGTCAGCAACCGCAGCTCTGCTTCGCTGTCTGTCTACAAATCTGTACTTTTAACAGAATGCTTGATTTGTTTATCCTGAACGTGGGCGGGGAAGTGGGAGGGACTGTTTTGATCTGTCAGAAGTGGTTTATTCTGGTTTTGTGGTGGGGTGGTGGGGAAAGGATCCATGTCATGACCAGGTAAGGTAACCAGGTTTGGGGGTATTTGTGTGAAACGGTTATCAGGATAAACATCTGAGATGCAACGTCTCGCTGCTGCCTGCAGGTGGCAGCAGGGAGCCGACAGGTGCCTCACTAACTGAAGCATGGGCAGCCGGTAGCACTAATGCTAACGTTGTAGCAGCATGGGTAGTCGTAGTGCTACAACTGAGATAGAGTTTTTTGTTTTGATTTATTTTCATTTTTTTGTAGTCTTTTAATGATGTGGTACCACCCTCTAACAACTCCATCAGTAGGTTAGATCACTCTATAAGCCTCAGTATGTAGTTCTTTACCTTATCGTCTCTTCTTTCATGCAACAGCGATAGAATTTGTTCCTTTAGAGGCAGTTGTGTCTCACCCACTCATTGTAACCACAACTAAATCCCATTTTCATTACCCTGAGAGACATTAAATCCCAAAACAATAATAAAAAAAAAAAATCCATCATAATATTCTAACAACATCTCTGAAATGATAACTTCTTACCTCAACAGAACCTACATATCAACCCCCCCAATCCCCTCTTATCCAATGGATTGAATAGTATTTGTAATGTATTTAAAACGTTTGTTTGAGCTCACTTGCAGGTATGCTGGAGAGTTTTTCACCACTAGTGGTGCTGCTGAGCTGATTTGATGAGCAGTTTACGACACTGCTGGAGCGTAAGGCCTATGCAGTGCACGTTTCTGTCGGTAGTTTTAGGAAATACCAGACGTTTTTTTGGCAATTATGCACCAAGAAATGTAGAAATTCGCCAGGAAAGGCAACAAAGAAGGAAACTGCAAGACTGTACACATAGATGTCAAGAAAAACTGCTTGAAACATCTGATTTGCAAATGTTCTATCACGACTCAACACATTGTTTTGGAAGAAACAGTGGATGTAAAGTAAGAAAATCCACCTTAAAAAACCCAAGTATAGTTGGATTTCAATGCCAGGCTCCATTTTGGATTTTGCTAACGTCTACTTAACCTGCTATCTGTAAGCAGTCGTGGGTACCTGGTCAAACACAGTTTCCTTTAGCAAAATGAGTATTTATAGATAAAACACCAGTCAACTCATTAATTCATTGATTTTGTGTGATTAACGGCCTTTCCTAGTACCATCTGTACGGTCTAGATGAGGCACATTCTGCCCCTTTTGTCCCTCGATTCCCCTGAAAACAAACACAACAACAATAATTCCAACTACTATTCAATCCAGATATATTTTGTGACAAGTTTTCCAACCACACATCCAACTCAGCTCTTTGCATATAGGCTCTCCCAAACCAAAAACCATACCAGCTTCCCCCCAAACAAACCCCAAAACAAACCCTCTGATAAAGCAAATAACCTCGATTCCCATCCGAACTAACAGCCCGGCGTCTGTGCCCCGATCGTCGAGCACCTTTACCAGAAATACCCAAACCTGTATGTACTGTGGTGATGCAGAAAAGCAGCCAGGCAGCACCAGAGAGTCTGTGTTTGAACGGAGTCAGTGTCTGTAGCCAGCTGGGAATATCAGCTGACATCTGAGAGGAAGTCTAGTTACTCCTACTATTGGTCTCTGTCTCCAACACTCCATCTCTCTCTCTTTCTCTCTCTCTCTGTCTATTTTATCTGTCTGTCTCTTCCTGTCTGCCTCTTCTCTCTCCATCTCTCTCGCCACCTAATCTCTCGGTATCGTTTCTGATCTCCTCCGACTCCTCTTCTCTCTCTCTCCGTCCACTTCACCCTCTCTCTCTCTCTCTCTCTCTCTCTCTCTGTCTCTGTCTCTGTCCATCCCGATCTGTCTTTCTCTGCCTTTTATGGTTTCGAGGAGTATAACCCTTTGCCCCATCCCCCTCCCCTCAGAAAACCATGAGCAGATACACCTGGGAGTGTAAGACCAAAGAGGAGTCCGACTGCGAGGTAAGACCAAATCCCAAATGTCAGATAGTCCCGAACCCCCCCACCCACCTTCTCTCACCTTCCCAAACAGCTCTCTCATTGTTACTGTGGCCCTGTCAATCACCCTTTTCAACTCTCAGTCCGAGCCTTACCCCCTTAAAATAAAGAGAAGAAAACACGGCATGTTAGAGCGGGACAGGCTTACAGCTTAACTGATTACTCCGCTAGATTGGAAGAAGATGAATATTCTGCATTGACTTTGACACATTTACATTTGTGCAAGTTTAGAAAAAAACAAGTAAACGATGAGCTCCGGGTAATGTTCATAAACAAGCACCAATATAGATTATAACAAGCAGCTCACACACATTACTTTAGTCACCAGGAAAAATGCACAAAGGTTCATATTAGCATGTACCAGATTGAGCCAAAAGGTAGATTTTTAGCTACGGTTCGTATATATAAAAAAACAGACAAAGAGCAATCATAGCCCATATTAGAGGATACAACAGAAAAACATCATATTGTTATGTAACTTACTTTATTAGTGTTTACTGTCATCTTCATTCTGAACACAGAAATGATGACATTAAAGATATTGTGCACATCAACAGGTGCTTACATTTATTTTTTGTCTTGAATAAAATATGTTTACATGCTTTAATGTTAAAACAACACCTTATTGTTATGTCCTGTGTCTGGAACGCTCCACTTTAGCTCCCGAAAAGCCACGTTTTCTCTAATTGGTCAGCTGGACCAACGGAACTGGGGCAACATTGACTACGTACCGTGACCCCAGGTCTATAAGTAAAGGGATGTACCCCTAGCAGAGAGATATAGTGTAATAATAACTGGTAGGAAGCTGCTCATTCTCTGACGGGGTGCCAAACTAGCTGCTAAGCAGATCTAGTGGTGACTTTGCTAAGTAACGCAACAAAAACCTGGACTTTAAATTAGGTGTTTGTAAGCTTGCAGGCCTTTAATAGACACAAACAGACTATATCACATATTAAAGGAAAAAGAAAACCTCAAAAAGCATCATATAGGCTCTTTAAGTTTGACTTTATAATTACAGCAGAACTCCAGTGATTTTCAATATTTGCTGAACAGTGAGGAGAGGCTGCTTCTCAGCTGGTAAAACTGTTTATTAATGTCTGCTGTGGACGTGGAGAAGCTTCGTCAGGTCTGCTAGTTGAGATACTCCCAGTTTTAAAGCTTGCAAAAACAAACTTAGTGGACTTTTCAATGTGAAGTTTTACCAGTTTTACAAAAAGGAACTAACAAAGTATTCAGGATTTCTCAGCTTTAGCTGCCAATTAAGTCCAGTACCTTCAAATATAGGCCACTGAATGATTTTAAAAAGTGTATTTTAACTTAGCAATTTAAATTAATGACACATTTCATTAATTTTGTTGTCAACCAGTGATGAACAAAGATGTAGAAACAGCATTAGAAGACTTTAATAACTTGTATTTAGTTGTTTTTTACATCCATTAGTCTCTCTATGAGAAGGTTCCAGTCTTGTGCTGGCGATAAAATGGCCATTGTTATTCATATTTGGATCACAGTTGATGTCTTTAGCCTTGAGGTGATCCCTGGAGCTCACGGTTTAAGCACCTTTCACAGCTAATCGTGCTGACTTTCATCTTGTAAAACTATTCTGCAATATTAGGGAGCAATTTCAAAGCTCAGATAGTGAAAAC